CCCCCCCCCCCCACCCCACTCTCGCGGCGGCGGCAACACAACGCACGCTCCTCGGTTGCTGCTGCTGCTGCCGCCGCCGCCGCTTCTCGTCTTCCTTATCAGCTCAAGGCGTCCAGGCGCCGCTGGAGGGAAAGAGCGAGAAAGGGGGGAAAGCAGGGAGGGAGCGAGCAGGAGCGAGCCTGGAGGGAAAGGGGAGAGGAGGAGGAGGAGGAGGAGGAGGAAGCCGCGGCGAAAGTGTGGGGAACTCAAAAGCGTCGCAGGCGGAGTAAAGCAAACTTCGGCACCCCGTAAGGAAGACTTTTTCGTTTTCTTCCCTTCTTCGTTTCTCGCGGTCCCGGCGCCCGCCGTCCCTCCCCCCCCCCCTTTTCCCCCGCCTCTTTTGTTTTTGTGTTTGGGGTTTTTTTTCACGCAAATTATCGTCGCGTTTTATTGGGTTGTTTTTTGTTTTTTTTTTACGCTCACGCCGGTCCCACCAGCAGCAACTGCCTCCGCCGCGGCTTCTTCAGCCGACTCGGCTTAAAGGCGAAGGCGACTTTAGCTGGGGCGAGAGAGCGGTCACCTTCCCAAAAGGGAGACCGGCTTTCCGCGGGCGAGCGCTTCTCCGGACTCGGGGCTCGCGCGGACTCGGAATTCGAACCGTTTCGGGCCAAAGCCGCGCTCCTGTCGAAGCGTCCGGCCGCAAAGGCGCGAGGCGTCCACATCGCCGCCTCCGCTGGGCGGCTGAGGAAGAAGTTCCAGCGCCTTTCGTAAAACTTTCGGCCCGCTTCGAACCCGCCACAGGAGAAGGCAAGGCGCTGTTTTAAAGAACCGGGGGGGGGGGGGTTGTCTTAGTTACGTTTAGCCGCTTCCACCTTCGAGCTCGCCTTGCTGAAACACCTCGGCTGTTTTCATTGCACCTCCGACTCCCCCCCCCACCACACCCGGTCCCTCCCCATGGAGAAGTCGAAATGTTAGAGGCTCTGTGTGTGTGTGTGTGTTGGTTCACGCAATTCGGCGGCATTTCCTTTCAAGCCATGAGAATGGGGTGGCTTTATGCGTCTCGTTCGGGATTCCCTGGCCAAAGATTTCGAAGGCAAATTTCTTCCCCGAGACTGGAGAAATCTCAGTTTCTGTTGTGGGACACACAACAGTGTGCATGGTTGCGTTTGACGGGTTTGATGCCCTCAGGGAGTTGTGTGATTGCAGCTCCCCATCCTCCCCAGTCTCTCTCTCTCTCTCTCTCTCCCAGCTCACTCCCCACATTGGCTGGAAAATAAGGGAATTGGAGTCCATCTTAAACTGGATGGCACTAAAGAAAATTGCTATAAATCATAAAAGAGCTTAAAATGGATCCTGCCCATCCAAAGCAGGTTATCCTTCACCACTATAGAAAAAAAAACTGAAAGAAAGGCACTAGAAACAAAGCCAACCAAATTTCTTTCTTTCTGTGTTATGCAAACCCAGCCGGTGAAATTAGTGCACATTTCATTGTTACCATCCTGGAAAATTGGTGTAATTCTATGAATCATAGTTACCCAAGAGCATGAGTACTGTATGAACACAGCTATCAAGTTGGAGCTAAACCCCTGGGAACAGCTTTACAAATCTAACCAATTCTTTTGCTTTCCTTACCAATCCAATACAAATCACTGAAGTTTGCACTTGAAAGTTTATTAGCTTTTAACTTCACTTCATTTTGCCTGTCAAAATCTACTCAGCCCTTCACTTTGCTTTGAGTGCCATCTGACTTGCCTGATACTCCCAACAAATGCCATTCCTGTCAGTTTGCGTTCTGATACCATTTTCCGCCACAAAGCCTGAAACCACCCTCACCCGGCCCCCCAGGCAGGGCAAAACTGAAGAATCAGGACTGATTCTTCTAATTGTTCAGAAACAGACTGGCCCCTTCATTTCACCCCCTCACCGAGTTCATTTCCCCTAACCAGTTCCCTGCTTTCTGCTGCAGCATCAGCACTCTCTTTCCCTACGTATTCTTAGCATGACAAAGAGATTACAAAACATTCAGAAGAGGCTAAGGGGAGAAAAGGGATTCTGCACTGCATTGCTAGTGGGTCATAGTTGAGACAGGGCTGTAGTTTAAGAGCTTAGATTTCCAGATTGACTAGTATTCCCTGCCCAGGCAGAGGTAACGCCGACCCTTTAAATTAGGGCTGTACTGCAGATTGTGTGAAATTGTTGGAGGAAACTAGGAGGACATGCACCCACAGATTAATGCAGAGAGAGACAGAGAGAAGAAGGAAATAGTGGGATGGAAACTTCACTCCATCAAACTTCATATAATCATGGCTCCCAAATTCACATTTCTAATAGTAGGTTTTCTGTAAACCATTGAACTCAATGATTTTGACAATGCAAACTACAGTATTGCTTTCTATCAGGATGCTTTTTTATTTTTCCAATGCAGCCTTTAGATATTTTGATTTTTTTTATCAAAATGTTTGGATGTTTTCTAAGAGGTTTCTTGCTCTTTTCCAGCCAGGCCTGAGTTTACCTTTTTTTCTTTCTTCTTTTGGTAAGAACCAAAGTTGGCCAGGTGCTGCCATCTGCTGGATTGGCTATTTGGTGGAAAGTGAGTTACACTTTCTCATCCTCCCTCAGGGTTATGTGAGGAGAAAATACTTCCCCTTCAAAGGAAACTAATGGAACAGATTATTTAATAAATGGATTTAAACTAACTTGGTGTGGTCTACAAGTGTTATTGCTCTCTCTATTAAAGCCATTGCATTACAACAGTAAGCATGTAACTTGTGTAGTTTAAAACTAACCATCTGTTCTAAAGATAATGGGGTAAACAATAGAAAATCCTTTTCTGGTAGACTTTCTCTATTGCATCTCAGCTCTGTTGATCAACAGGTTGTAGTACCAACAGGCAGTGTGAGTGGGAATGATGGGACCTGAAGTTCAAATTTCTTTGGAGGGCATTAGATGGACAAAGCTGGTCTCCACTTGACTGTCCAAGCAATCTTAGCTATAGTCATGAATACTTTCAACCTGAATTTCAGAGAGGATCTCTTTACTACCAAATTAACTGTGTAGAAAGTGGACTGTCGTGGGATTTGCCACACAGGAAAACCACTGCATGATTTTATTTTTCATCCTCCACCCAAAATTAGATTTAAAGAACAAGTTGTTAAAAAGAGTGGTATTGCATAGCTCTAGTTCCTTATTGCTTTTGCAGCAACGTTTCTGGAAAGCGAAGGATCCTGCACACTGCATGCAAATGGCTTTTTATCTGTTAGTTTACAGCTAACCTAAATTGAAGATGTGTGGGATGGAGTACTTCCCATTCTTCTATTCACTAAAAGCATTCCTCTTTTTGCTTTCGACCCCAGAAGAAGATTAAGGGACAGGTTTTCAAAAGTAAACATGACACTTCGGTGCCTATTTAGTGCTGACTTTTAATGGAATTTAAACGCCTCCAATAGCCTGAGCGTGATGAAGCATGAAAACCAGCAAAGCACTTTGCAGAATCAAGCTTAAAGACTCATTTGGGCTTCTGAAAATAAGCCCCTACAGCAATTAGTCTTAAGCTGTTGTCCTTTCCCATTGGCCTGTGACACCACAAACACAGTTCCCCTGCACTTGGATGCAGCTGTACCAAACACTCAAAGTGAGAGCTTGATTAGTTTTGGGCTTGTTGCTGCTCTTGGATCTCTACAGGCCCTTCCCATCATTTGGAAAGCAATCCCTGCTTTCAACCTTCGCTCACTCAAACAGAATTGCCGTGGGTAGAGAGATCCAAACAATTTGATTAATTGCCACTAATAGCAATCAGAGGAACAGAGACTGGAGAAAAGGCGAGGTTTATATGTTTTCCACCCACTCTCTCTGTTCCTGTTGTGACCCTTAATGGGTTCATAGAGGACAATGCTTCCCTACTCCCCCAAAAGATGAACCATTAATTGGCATTCATTGTTCACTACCTCTGTAATTCATAAACACTTATTGTAGGAACCATTTAAAAAATGTCCTACTTTAAAAGAAAGCAAAGGGAAATAGAACATGTAGCTTGCAATGTCACAAATTAGGAATTAACCACCCCATAGTATGGGCCTGAAAATCTGTACTGTTATTTGTTAGTTTTTCAGGTGGTCTTTAAGGAGCTTCAAGTGGCCTACAGAAGATTATCTCATTTGTTTAGAACAGAGCTCTCTAAACTTGACAACTTTAAGACTTGTGGACTTCAACTCCCAGAATTCTGGGAGTTGAAGTCCACAAGTCTTAAATTTGCCAAGTTTGGGGACCCCTGGTTTAGAACAATATGTTGTGGTAGCTTAGCCGAAAGAAAATGGTTGGTCACCAAATTCAAAGCTGAATTGAGATTTGGATCCGGGCTTCCTGATTCAACTCCAAGTCTCTGCCTACAACTCACCAAATTGACTTAAATATGTAACTGCGGCATGGCTTTGATGTTAATCTGCATATGGGAATTCACTTGTAGTCCACAGCTGCAGATCTTTAATTGTTGTGCAAGCTGGAGAAACGAGGGCATTCAGATGTGTTTAGACATGACTGTCATTGTTCAGTTTTCCCAGCCTGATGCCCTCCAGTTGTGTTGTAGCCCGGGTGTTACAGTCACAACT